AGAGTATGTTATATTCACTTACATAGCTCTTTTTTTCATATTTTTAGCAGAATTTTAAGTCTTTTTCATATAGATCTTATACATATTTTACATTTGTGGGTATCTTATGAAACTTTTTGCTATTGTGCATGGGCTGCTTTTAATATTACATTCCTTAGTTTATTATTGCTAAGTGAAAGTTACTAATATCTTTTTTTTAAAACCAAGATATTGAGGCACAGATCAAAAGCTACTCTTTTTTTTTTGGAGACAGAGTCTTACTCTGTCACCCAGGCTGGAGTGCAGTGGTGCAATCTCAGCTCCACCTCCCAGGTTCAAGTGATTCTCCTGCCTCAGCCTCCCAAGTAGCTGGGACCACAGGCCTGCGCCACTGTGCCCAGCTAATTTTTGTGTTTTTAGTAGAGACAGGGTTTCGCGAGGTTTCTTTTTAGTAGAAACAGGGTTTAGTAGAGACACGTTGGCCAGGCTGGTTTCAAAGTCCTGACCTTATGTGATCCGCCCACCTCAGCCTCGGCCTCCCAGAGAGCTGGGATTACAGGCATGGGCCACTGCGCTTGGCAGAAAACTACTAATTTCTGTATGTTAAACTTGCATCCAGCCGTCTTACTGAACTCTATTAGTTCCAATTGTTTCCAACCGATTTGGATTTTCTAGATAACCAATTCATCTGTATCTATTACTATTATTATTTTTTTTTGAGATGAAGTCTCACTCTGTTGCCCAGGCTGGAGTGCAGTGGTGTGATCTTGGCTCACCACAACCTCCACCTCCCGGGTTAAGGCGATTCTCCCGTCTCAGCCTCCCAAGTAGCTGGGACTATAGGTGTGTGCCACCAAGCTCGGCTAATTTTTGTATTTTTAGTATAGACAGGGTTTCACTATATTGGCCAGGCTGGTCGAACTTCTGACCTCATCATCCGTCTACCTCAGCCTCCCAAAGTGCTGAGATTACAGGCGTGAACCACTGCACCCAGCTTGTAACTATGATATATTCTGAAACCTAGTAAAGCAAATCTCCCATCACTGTCCTTTTTCCCTGGAAATCTACTTTTGCATTTCTTGGACACTTATTTTCCCAATAAATTTTGCCTTTATCGAGTTCTATAAGATCTCCTGATGGAATTATACTAGGTTTTCCATTTGATGTATTGCTCACTATCTTTGAGACTACTGTCATCTTTGCTCGACTATTCCCAACAGGGGAGAGTTTGTAGCTTCATTTGTTCCAAGTATTTCTTTGTTTTTCCGTTAAGATTTTATAATTTTATTGGAATCAATGTCGAGTGTTCTATACCAAGCTAATTTCCAAGCACTATCCTTTATCACTACTGTAAATGAGACTTCTTTAATTATGAATTTTCTGTTTTCTCAGAAATAGAAAATTTTCTTGGATTTATCTCATATTCTGTAATTTTGCTCATATCATTTCTTATAATTTTTTTTAAAAGATTTTCTATGTCCATAATTTGGCCACCTTACAGTGATAACTTACCTCTCTCTTTACTATGTCACTTCTGCATTTATTTTTATATCACTCACTACACGTTTGTCAAAATTAGAGTAAGCAATAAAAGATACTCCTTTTTTGTGTGTGTGAGATAGAGTCTCGCTCTGTCACTCAAGCTAGAGCCAAGTAGCTCATTGAAACCTCAACCTCTCGGGCTCAAGCAGTCCTCCTGCTTCAGCCACCTGAGAAGCTGGGACCACAAGGCACACCATCTGATTTTTTTATAGAGACGAGGTCTCATTATGTTGCCCAGGCTTTAGCCACCTAAGAAGCTGGAACCACAGAGGCACACCACTTGATTTTTTATAGAGATTAGGTCTCACTATGTTTCCCAGGCTGGTCTTGAACTCCTGAGCTCAAGTGATCCCCCTGCCTTGGGCTCCCAAAGGGTTAGGATTATAGCTATGAGCCAATAAACCTGGACGAAATCCTTAACAAGAATATTCATAAATGCCTACAGATTTCACCCTTGAGATAACATTGGCTCTGGTTCTTGGCTCTGAAGCTAAAATTGGTTGCTTCAAGGAAAGTAAACTAGATGACTGGGGGAAAGACGAAGGAGGATATTTTTCACTATACAGTTTGAACATTTGAAATCCAAAACACTACAAAATCCAACATTTTTGAGTGCCGACACAACACTCAAAGGCAATGCTCATTGTCCATTTTGGATTTTGGACTTTCAGATTTAGAATAAGTATAATGCAAATATCCCCAACTCTGAAAAAGTCCAAAATCCAAAACACTTCTGGTCCCAAGAATTTCAAAGGGATATTCCACCTGTATAATTACAGCGTGCCTCTGAATTCTGAACCACATAAATATATTTATTTCTTCAAAAAGTAAAGTTATATTAATAAATGTGTACTTTTAATCAAAAATGCTTCTTATTCCAGATTAAGAGTGTATTTAGAGAATCACTCCTCTGAATTTTTCTTTGTTACACTGACTTCCAACCTGGGATAAATACTATTTGGGCACAATGTACAATTCTATTTAATAGTATGCAGTTTTCCTGCTAAAGAAATAAATTTAGGGCTAGAAAAGAGTATCTAGTATCATTGTATATTTAAACAAAAACCCAACACACAAAAGAGACAAAAACAAACAAAAACCTTTAAGGCCAATAAAGCCTAGATGATTTATTTAAGGGCACAGTGCTTGTTCATGGGACAGTCAAAAGGAAAAAAAAGCCAGGACTCACAATCCCTTGGTTCAATAGATTGTTGGCTAAGATTTCTGTTAGTAACTTTGTACCAATACTAATATACAGTATTTGATGAACATCTTCCCTTTTAGAATTAGGTTTTTGGATGATAACCAATTTACTCCATAAAGTATGCTTAAGTAGTAGGATTCCTTGTTCTAGGTTTAAAAAATAACTTAATATAATATACAGATTTTAATGTACTTCAACTTTAAAAAATGTTACTGTGAGCCCATTAGGGAGTCAGTTCTTTTCTTTTTCTTTCTTCTTCTTTTTTTTTTTTTTAAAAAAAAAAAAAAGACTATTATTTCATCCAATTATTTTAGTACCTTTATATTAATTTCATACGGGCAGTTTTTTGTTTTTGTATTTTTGAGACAGTTTCCTCCATTGCCCAGGCTGGAGTGCAGGTGTGATCTCAGCTCACTGCAACCTCCGCTTCCCAAGTTCAAATGATTCTCGTGCCTCAGCTACCCAAGTGGCCAAGCAGCTGGGGATTATAGGCATGCGCCACCATGCCCAGCTAATTTTTCTATTTTTAGTACAGATGAGGTTTTACCATGTTGATCAAGCTGGTCTCCAACTCCTGGTCTCAAGTGATCCACCCTCCTCTGCTTCCCAAAGTGCTGGGATTACAGGCATGTGCCATGGCGCCAGGCCAGGGTAGTTATTTTTTGTAGTCAGCTATTTCAAAAATGTTGGTAATATAACCACATATATATCATCCCTTTAAAACAATGTTTTCCATTTCTGACTTCTATCTTCTTTATGTCAATTAGGCCAACTATTTATTTTTATTGTCTTTTCAAAGATCAGCTGGGTGCACCGGTTCATGGCTGTAATCCCAGCACTTTGGGAGGCCAAAGCAGGAAGACTGCATGAGCTCAGATGTTTGAGACCAGCCTGGACAACATGGTGAGACCTCATCTTTAAAAAATTCAAAAAATTGGGCCGGGCGCGGTGGCTCAAGCCTGTAATCCCAGCACTTTGGGAGGCCGAGGCGGGTGGATCACGAGGTCAAGAGATCGAGACCATCCTGGTCAACATAGTGAAACCCTATCTCTACTAAAAATGCAAAAAATTAGCTGGGCATGGTGGTGCGTGCCTGTAATCCCAGCGACTCAGGAGGCTGAGGCAGGAGAATTGCCTGAACCCAGGAGGCGGAGGTTGCGGTGAGCCGAGATCGCGCCATTGCACTCCAGCCTGGGTAACATGAGTGAAACTCCGTCTCAAAAAAAAAACAAAAAAAAAAAAAAAAAATTCAAAAAATTAGCCAGGTGTGGCGATACACACCTGTACGCCCTGCTACTCAGGAGGCTGAGGCAGAAGGATGGGTTGAGCCTGGGAGATGGAGGCGGCCGTCAGCTATGATCGCACCACTACACTCCAGTTTGAGAGCAAGACTTTGTCTTAAAAAACAAATACAAAGATCAAACCTTTTAGTTCCTATTAGTTTTACATTTTACTTATCTGATCTTCCCAAATTCAATGTATACTAAATATTTAATAAATTTCCATTAAACTATAAAATTCAATTTTTTGTGTTAATATAAATCTCTACAGTCCATTTTCTCTAATAACTGTGTCCCAAATTTTTTTTCTCTTTTAAAAAATTTTCTTTATTGTTTATAATATGGAATGCTTTACCAATTTGCATGTCATCCTTGCATAGTGGCAATGCTAATCTTTTCTTCATTGGTCTACTTTTAGTATATACGCTGCTGAAGCAAGCACTTCATCCCAATTTTAAAAATACATTATCACTATATTTCCTTCGTTTTCACATGAACTCATATTATGTGCACATTTCTATGCTACATACAGTTTACAGTTCTATAAAAGCACAGTCTCACATTTGAATTCTACAACCTAATATCGCTTTTCAGATGATAGATTCACGAGTCAAACCCAGATTTTGTGATGCTACATCTTGAGCTTTTTTTTTTGAGACAGGGTCTCACTCTGTCACTCAGGCTAGAGTGCAGTGGCAGATTGTCGGCCACCACACCCAGCTAAAAGTATAAATTTGTAAATGTCATTTGGTTTGATAGCTGAAAAAAAAAATCAATCATGAAAACTAAGGGCAGTGCAAGGGCTAGGTAGAAACCAACAAATATAAAAGTGCTGAGCGTTTCTCAGGAGCTGTCCCAGAGCACCATCTGGTGGACATCTGGCAACTTTTACCAACATCAGTAAGGAGATGGACACAAGGTTCTACAGGCTGGTTACTGAAAAATTCCGTGCAAACTCTCTAAAGCTGCTGCCATCATTAGCTGACTACACATACCTGGATGAGGTCCAAGATTCCAAGTTCACTCTCTGACGAATCCACACAAAATACAAAGTAGAGGGTAGCATAGTGCCGGTAGATCAGTTTGTAGTCAGAGCCACCAATCAAACTGCGGAAGATAGGAAACGTTTAATACCCATAGCTTAAACACACCAAAAAGAAGCCTTGTGTCAAAGAATAAGAAAGGGCCCACTGGAAAGAAGGCCAAATGCTGGAAGCACGCCATTCTTCCCAGGTGAATGGCAACCAAGTTTGACAGAGGTACCTAAAGCCACCTTCTCTCACCTTTTCTCCTGCCTATCCTTCCAGGGCCCCAACATCTACATGAGCAATATCAGAAGCACAATAACTAAACTGTGTCCCAAAGAGAATTGTGTCTCTCCCTGAGCAGATCATACTGAGACCAGTCAAAGTTGCATCAAGTACCACCTGACACTTGAGTGCTGCCAGAAGACGCAACAGTGAAGGTCACTCACAAGAGTGGATACATGGGGAGAAAAATGAAGCTGACAGTTTACCTTCCACCCTCCAAGAAGTTACAAATGTTGTCATCTCGCTTGAGGACTAGATGGAAAGTCTCTCGAACAATCTGCTGTTGAATTTCCTCTGGCTGTGGAATAAAAAGATAAGTGAATCAGTGGGCATGCCTGAAAAACTACATTCCATCCATGGGTATGGACAAGGGAAGAAGTGTTTATAAGCTGGGAGCATCTAAACATTTAGTTTCCAGAAATGAAAAAATGATGAGTAGAGAAAAAGTAAGAGTGAAGCTGTGAAAAATGGATGATAAGGCTCCAATATAGGAATTAAAATAGGGTATATTTACCTAGATATCTAAGTCACTAACTGTTACTGTCCCATAGGTAAGCTGACATTTAAACAAGGAAAGGAAATTGATAAACTCTCATACAAAGTCAAAGAATAGGCTGGGCGTGGTGGCTCACGCTTATAATCCCAGCACTTTGGGAGGCCGAGGTGAGCAGATCACGAGGTCAGGAGTTCAAGACCATCCTGGCCAACAGGGTAAAAGCCCGTCTTTACTAAAAATACAAAAAATAGCCAGGTGTGTTGGCACGCACCTGTAATCCCAGCTATTCAGGAAGCTAAGGCAGGATAACTGCTTGAACCCAGGAGGTGGACGTTGCAGTGAGCCAAGATGGTGCCACTGCACTCCAGCCTGGGCAACAGAGCAAGACTCTCTAAAAAAAAAGTCAAATAACAACTAGAAGGCCTGATCCTGAAATATTTTGTTTTTCCCTGGAAAACATCCATGACAGGTATATGATAAATCTCAACGGGTCTACCACTTAAAGAAGGTCAAGATGTAATCATGTAAATGTTTTAAAAAGCTGTATTGGCAAACACAGCTGCCATCTTTTGTACTGGCAATGTAGATACTACATATAAGATGCTGTGTTACCAACAAACTATTATTGAAAAAAACAGATTACAGATTAAAAATTCCGAACAATCACAGAGCTACAAATAAAAGGTATTATTATTATTATTATTTTTTAGACAGAGTCTTGTTCTGTTGCCCAGGCAGTGATGCGATCACAGTTCACTGCAACCTCCACCTCCTGCCTCAGCCTCCCCAGTAGCTGGGATTACTGGCATGTGCCACCATGCCCGGGTAATTTTTGTATTTATAGTATAAATGGGGTTTCACCATATTGGTCAGGCTGGTCTTGAACTCTTCACCTCAAGTGATCCACCTGCCTTGGCCTTCCAAATTGCTGCAATTACAGGCGTGAGCCACCGTGCCTTGCCTTGTTTTTTCACTTACTACCTGCATAAGAAAGCTCAACTCTGATGAAATCACTTTGATAGCTCACCTCTGATTTCTAATTATACATATGAGTTTCAGAAGAGGTATGGTAAAAAAGGATAATGAGAGGGAGAAACCAGCAATTAAGACAGAAAATAATTAAAAGCTCTAAACCATTGCTTCTCAAATCTTAATTTGCAATGAATCAGCTGTGTTGTTAAAATACAGATTGAGATTTAGTAGGTATAGGTTAAGTCCTGAGATGCAAGCCTAGTAAGCACCCAGGCAATACCATTTCTGCTGGTCTGGGGACCACACTTTGAGTAGCAAAGCATTAGAAAACCTTCAAATTGGACTTGCCCCAGGAGTCAGAAAATAAGTTCAAGTAATTGTAATCCCTTTCTTTCTACAGCACAGAATTTAGCTTTGAAATGGTTATTTACTTAAAAGAAACAGAGAGGGGGAAAAAAAAACAGACAAAACGTCATGTTGGGAAAATTACTTTGACTCACATGGGTATGGAATGGCTCACAGTATTTACTGAATGAATGAAAACTTGCTAATCATTGGTCACTATAAATTTGAGTAAATCAATCACTATTTTCCTCAATTCCATTTAAAGAACACACAAAGCTCACAGATGACAGGATGCTGTAAGGGATTAACTATGTGAAATACAAAACATGCTAAGCATCAGCACTTTTTAAACTGACAAATCTTTTGAACTAAAGCCTTTTATCTGATCTGGGGGAAGTGGCAGAAGTGGGCAGGTGGTATGAAATGATGAGGCCACCTAATTTCTAGTTCAATAAAAAGGTAAACTACCAATTGCTTACATGCCTCAGTGATTTTAATAACCCCTCATATCTTTTTAGTACTCTGTAGTTTTCAACGTACTTTCATTTATGTGCTCATGAGGTCTTATAAAATCCTATGATCTTCAAAGATACACGAATGGTCAATAAGCACATGAAAAGATGCTCAACATCATTAGTCATTATGGAAATTGAAATCAAAGCCACAATAAGCCAGACGAGGTGGCTCACACCTGTAATCCCAGCACTTTGGGAGACCAAGGTGGGCCGCTTACTTGAGGTCAGGAGTTTGAGACCAGCTTGGCCAACACAGCGAAACCCCATCTCTGCTAAGAAAACAAAAATTAAGCGGGCATAGCGACCGACACCTGTAATCCTTGGGAGGCTGAGGCAGGAGAATGGCTTGAATCTGGGAGGCAGAGATTGCAGTGAGCCAAGATCACACCGCTGCACTCCAGCCTGGGCAACAGAGTGAGACTCAGTCTCGGGAGCTGGGGGGGATGACCCCACAATGAGATACCACTTTACACCCACTAAAATGTCTTTAATCAAAAAAACAGATTAGTTAATGGCAGAGGTGTGAAGAAACCGAAATCCTTATACACTGCTGACGAAAATGTAAAATGGTGCAGCCACTTGGAAAACAGCTTGCAGTTTCTCAAAACGTTCACTATAGTTACCACACGATCCAGCAATTCTACTCCTGGGTACATAACCAAGAGAAACGAAGACACGGGTCCACATGAAAACTTGCACAAGAATGTTCATAGCAGCATTAGTTATAAGAGCCAAAAAGTAGAAACATCAACTTGCAATCAAAATATGGCATATCCATATAACGGAATATTATTCAGCAATAAAAGAACATCAGATACATGCATGGATGAATCTTGAAAACATTATACTTCATGAAAGATGGCAGACAGAAAAAAACACCTATTTTATGATTCCATTTATATGCAATGCCTGGAACAGGCAAATTGAGAGGGAAAGACAGACTCTCTAGAGCGGAGAGCATCAGTAGAGAAATACGGAGAGACTGCTAAGAGATTTCTTTTTGGGGTGATGAAAATGATCTAAAATTGCTTGTGGTGATGGTTGTGCAGCTCTGTGAACACGCAACATTGAATTGTCCCCTTTAAATAAGTAAACTGGGCTGGAGCGCGGTGGTTCATGCCTGTAATCCCAGCACTTTGGGAGGCCAAGGCGGGAGGATAACGAGGTCAAGAGATCGATACCATCCTGGCCAACATGGTGAAACCCGGTCTCTACTAAAAATACAAAAATAAACCGGGCAGGGTGGCGGGTAGTCCCCTCCAACTACTTGGGAGGCTGAAGTGGAGAATCGCTTGAACCCGGGGCGCGGAGACAAGATTGCATTACTGCACTCCAGCCTGGGCGACAGAGCGAGACTATGTCTCAAGAAATAAAAAAGTCTATGAAGGAGTAAAATTATTTTTTCATTCCTAATTGACAAAAGACGGAATAAAAGTCCGAAAAGGGTTTATTAATTTGTCAATAGATGCTAGAGTACAAAAGGGGGCGCTGAAGCCTGAACATGTTTTTTGACTCTTTCCCCTTTTCAGTTTCACCCGTCCCCCAATTATGTAACATGGTGAAATCCCGCCATGAAGAAATAAAATCTTCAAAGACAGTAGGCAAATACTGATGCTTATGTGTTTGCAAAGGAACATGTCTGGAAAATTCAAATTTACGTAATCAGCATTTATAATTTCTCATTTTTCCACTTTTAAATTGATTCTCTTCAATCCTACAGAGTGAAGGGTATCTAGCCTCTGGAAAGTTCCAGCCAACACCGATGCAAAATAATTCCATAAAAAGAACTTTTCCAGACACTCTGGCTATAACAAAAAACTCTCAGAAACTGAATACTTCATCGCGAAACTCTGGTCAACAACCAAAAAGGTGACAGCATGTGACTTCAATCATTCAAGTGCTCAACAAGGCACACTCCCTACTGTCTCTTCTATCTCGTTCCCAGAGACCCAAGAGAAAATGTCACAAAATGGCACAGAAATGCCGGGATCTAGAAAGGGGTCAGAGCGGGGGCAGCAGGGCGGGAGACAGAGGCCCCGCACCGGCATACGCCCAGGCTGTGTTTAAATAAGGCGGGTGCCATGCACCAGGCAGGGGCCCCAGGTGACCAAACAGCGGGGCCCCCGGGTGCCGAGGGGCCAGAGAGCAGGGACGAGGTAGTAGGAGCCCTCAAGGGGGGTGGTGAAGCCGGGCTGCACTCACGAAACGCTGGTAGAAGCGGACTAGCCGCGGCTTCCCATGGTTGTTGAAAACCAGAATCGCCTGAATCATCTTTGCCGGCCACGGTTCACTCAGCACCGGCTACTCCCAGAAAGCGCCTCCTTCCGCCACAACACGGTCACTTCCGGCTGGTGCGTCACTGAGAGCGGCCCTGGGAAACGTGGCCCGGCGCCCAGGAGCCCTGGCACCTAAGAGTCCGGCCTCACGGACGCCCCGGAGCGGGCAGGGGGCTACCCTCGGAGGGCAGGTGCGGGTGCCGAGCGTCGTCACCGCGGCCAACGTCGGTTGGCCGGTCAGTGCCCTGCCAGGATGCGAATCCGGGTCTGTGCCCCTCGTCCAGACCGACCGCTGGCCCCAGAAGCCGAAACTTGACCCACGGCTTGGTTGCCAAAAGGAGACCGCTGGAGCTTCCTTTCTCACTGTCCGCCCCTAAACGTGCCGCCCCCGCCTTCCCTTAGCGCTTGCAGAACGTTCCGCGGCGTGGAGACGCCAGGCTTTCGGCCGGTCAGCAGTTAAGGACCATTTCGTTCCTTTTTCATGTTTCAGTATTCAATGCTCAGTGAATCATGTGGCTGTCTCCCCGGGCAGATGGGCTGTTTCTCCGTGGTAGACGGTGAATGGTGGAATTAAGGATTTTTAGTGCATATTCATTTAAAAAGTCTCGGCGATCCCTAATCGATGAAGGTCTTATTTTTGTTTGTTATTTTAATAACCTAGTGTGGGTGAAGAGGAGCGCGTGCGAATACTGCACATGGAGCACCGGATAGAGCTGTACATCGATCCGGAGGACTGTTTGGAAATATGAATCAGAAAGGAGCCTTTAAAATGTCTAACGGGCCGGGCGCGGTGGCCCACGCCTGTAATTCCAGCACTTTGGGAAGTGGAGGCGGGCGAATCACTTGAGGTCAGGAGTTCGAGACCAGCCTGGCCAACATGGTGAAACCCCATCTCTACTAAAAATACAAAAATTAGCCGGGCGTGGTGGCGGGCGCTTATAATCCCAGCTACTCGCAGGTTGAGGCAGGAGAATCGCTTGTACCCGGGAGGCATATGTTGCAATGAGCTGAGATCACGCCACTGCACTCCAGCCTGGCAACAGAGCGAGCCTCCATCTCAAAATATGTATATATATTATTATATATAATAAATATCATATATACTAATATAATATATAATACATAATATATAATAATATATACTATTAGGCTCATTATTTCCAGCTTTAGAATTTATGATCAAATGACTGTGGATGTGTGAAAAGATTTAGCCTCAGAAACATACATCTTCAGAACACTTAAGAAAGAAAAAGAAAAAAGAAGAGAATATATATCTCAGTGGTATTATCACAGGGGAAATAGGAAGAAAATTATTACAAAGCGAGAAATTGGTTAAGTGCATTGTTCTACATGACTATGAGAAATATTAACTAATAAAAATGCTGGGATAGATTTATGATGCAGAAGTGTTCATGACATCTGTTAAGCAAAAAGATGACACAACGTATGTACAGGGACAACCGACTTTGCACAAGTTTGGAGGTAAATACGCCAACATAGGAATAATGTATCTGATGGGCTGGCAGAGTCAGGGTGTTTGATCTGTACAGTCCCCTGGAACCCACCTGCCCTGATTCAAAGCCTGGTTCTGTGGACTCCGTGGGCTCCCTGGGCAAGGTGGACTGCCTCGACACCCTGTGCAAGGTTCTCATCTGTAGAAAAGGTGTCATATCAGTTTCCTAAACCGTAAAACTGGAAAATGAGCCTACCAACTGCAGACAGTTGTTACGCGCACAAAAGGAGTTATTATAACATTTGTGAGCACTTGGAACAGTGCCTGGCACTGTTGAGTTCCACATAAGTGATTTCAAAGCATCTTTGGGTGGCAGCATGATCAAGTTCTCCTTTTTGTCCTTCAAATAAATATGTGCTACTTTTGCAGCCAGAGTTTTGGGGTTTGCTTGTTTTTCAGAGATAGTATATTATCCAGGTTGGAGCGCAGTGGCACAATCACACCTCGCTGTTACCTTAAACTGCTGGCCTCAGGCTCTCCTCCAGCCTCAGCTTCCCAAACCACCACCATGCCCTGCCCAGTTTTTTTCTTTTTTCTTTTCTTTTCTTTTTTTTTTTTTTTGAGATGGAATCTCGCTCTGTCACCCAGGCTGGAGTGCAGTGGCACGATCTTGGCTCACTGCAACCTCCGTCTTCCAGGTTCAAACGATTCTCCCGCTTCAGCCTCCCCAGTAGCTGGGATTACAGGTGCATGCCACCATGCTTGGACAATTTTTGTATTTTTAGTAGAGATGGGTTTCACCACGTTGGCCAGGGTGCCATTGAACACCTGACCTCAAATGATGCACCTGTCTCAGCCTCCCAAAGTGCCGGGATTACAGGCTGTGAGCCACTGGGCCTGACATGGCCCAGTTTTTAAATAAATAAAAACCCAAAGTCAATTGCACTGAAACTTGACAAAATGTTTAAAATGTTGAGGAAGAATATCAAAGAAAATTCTGAAACAGAATTATGAAGAAGAACTAGCTCTGTCAACTATTAAAATGGTACTATAAAATGTAATTATAGGAAGACTAACTGAAATAGATAATTTAGGCATAAAATAATTTTAATATGTGATGTAGGAGTGATAAGGAATTCAGTAAATACTAGTAGGATAACTGGTTAGCAATTTGAAAATAAGTAATTAAGTATAAAACCAGATCATCTAAATAGAAGAAAACAAAATTGAATAATATCCAAAAATACGTATTAGCTTAGACGCAATAAAAAAAAAAAAAAAAAAAGAAAGAAAGAAAAATATAATAATTCTTTAAAAAAAAGAATTAACCAAAAAATTGTTAAAATTTGGCAAATGGTTATGTTTAAAATATAAGTAACTCTGATAAACTAAAAAGATATCACCCCCCCATCTCCTCAGTAGATAATGGATGAAAGAACTGAATAACAAAAGGAGAAATACAGTAGGAAAAGGAAAAAATGTTTAATGCTCACTATAAGTTGGGGGAAAGGCAAATTAAAATATATTAAAATATTATTTTCACCTTATCAAATACCATTTTAAAAATGTTTTCATACCCAGTTCTGGCAAGGGCAGCATGAAAATGGTTCTCTCCTACATTGCTGGTGAAATTATGGTTTAGAACAATCCCTTTGGGAAGCAATTTGGCAATATAACAACTTTACAAAAGATTTCTATATTCTCAATAGTATGACTCCTGGGAATCTGTTCCTAAAGAAATAACCCCAAAATATAGCTGGAGGTGGGGAATTCAGGGAACTATATAATTTTCAACATTGTTTGAAACATGAATTTTGTTGGCCACACAGGGATCAATTTAAATGTCTAAAAGTTAGACCATGAGGGACTATCCCATGGCAGCAATCTTGGAAATAATTGTTACAAAGCCTCTGCAGCAATATGGAAAGTCATTCTGTAACATTAATCGAAAAAGTCATATCTAATATTATGTGTGGGCATAGTGTTATAACAGCTACGTACAAGCACGACAGGTTTTTAGAATTTGTCTGGCAGGTTTTCCCATTTGTACCAGAAACCCCCTATGCAGGTTTACGAAAACCAAAACTATATACAGAAATTACATGTTAAAAAACCCAAACACTAAAAATTACAATCATGACTGAGTGAAATTATGAGTCTTTTTTTCCCTTTTAAATATATTTCCTAAGTGCATTGCTATTTATGGAGATGAGTTAAGTCCCGCAAAAATTTTCCCATATCGGCTGGGCGCGGTGGCTCATGCCTATAATCTCAGCACTTTGGGAGGCCAATGGAGGGGGGCAGATCACCTGAGGTCAGGAGTTCAAGACCAACCTAGGCAACATGGCAAAACCCCATCTCTACTAAAAATATAAAATTAGCTGGGCGTGGTGGCACATGCCTGTAATCCCAGCTACTTGGGAGGCCGAGGCAGGAGAATCTCTTGAACCCAGGAGGTGGAGGTTGCAGTGAGCCGAGACTGAGCCATTGTGCTCCAGCCTGGGTGACAAGAGTGAAACTCCGTCTCAAAAAAAAATTTTTTTTTCTCCATATGAATGGAAGCTCAGAGGATTTGCTTGTTTCTGTTTGAATATATAAAATAACTGTCAATTTCCATCATTAGGCCCACGGTGAAAGGCAAGCTGGACATTGGTGGAAGAAAAGAAATTCAGATGGATAGAGGAAAGGGACCTCCCAACAAGAAGAGCCCAGGCCAGACAGTGGAAATGGGGGAGTGGCCTGCTCCAGGAGCAGCCAGCCCTCCATGGGACCCACACAGCCCTTCCCAAACTGTTTCTCGGGACAGCTGTCCCATGAAATGCTCCTCACAAAAACGTGTTCTATGACCAAAGAAACGTGGGCAATACGTAATCACACCCTGCCTTGAAGAGTCACGATAAACGTTAGTATGTTCAAAGCTCTGAGAAATCCTACAGAAATGTTTGAAACATTACGTTTGTTCCAACTAATCAGATCATAGGAACACCGCCACTTTTTGTTGCTAGCCCTGTTAACCTGTGGAAGATCCCTTGAGCTGGTCTGAAGGGATTGTCCCAGAGCTCATAAGGAGGAAGTGAGCAGAGAAAGGAGGGCAGTGAAGATGTGATGAGCCCTGAATTGTGTTAAGGAATTTGAACTTTTCATCTGGGGAGTAATAGGATCCAGTCTAGCTCCAGAAAGCCACACGGGGGCCCCTGGAAGCTGGGTTTCAGCCCTGCCTTATTTCCTTAGCTCCCCACAGGTGTATCTGTTGGTTTTGCCCCCGAATGCCCCTCAAACCATTAACTTCTGTCCATTTCCCCTGCCACTGCTGTAAAGCAAACCCCTCCAGCCTCGCACCCAGGCAACGGCAGCTGCCTCCTAAAGCAGCTCCTGGCCTCCAGTCGCTCTGCAGTCAAGCGATCTTTGAAACACAGATCAGATCTTATCACTCTCCATGGGATCCCTGGCTTCCGGGATAGTCCTCAGTTCCTTACCACACCTAAGGAGGCCATGCCCACTCTCCAGCCTCATCTCACACATAAGCCCCCATTCACTGAGCTCCAGCCGTGAGTTGCCTTTCCTTCCTGAAGCCCCTGCAGGATGCCTCACCCTTTCTGTCGCTTTAGGACCTCTGCTATTGACACATTGGGCCTCCTTGTTTGGAATGGTGCCCTGGCCATTTATTTGCCATACCCTTTGGCCACAGTGCTTTAGACAGCAGGATGTCCCCACTGGGTGACTCAACCCCTGGTCAGTGTCCCCAGTAATCCTTCTGCTCAGCCACCTCCCTGGCCACCCCCATGGATGAGGCTCCAGCATGGCCTGCCTGAGAGAAAGTCCCATTCAGACACAGAACATGAGTGAAGCAGCTACCACATCCTCTGGCCCCTGTATCCAAGACCTTTCTGAAGGGCAAGGAAGCAGGGGACGGCGGAAGGAACATAGGGTTTGCTTTTGACAGCTGTGGGTTTGAATCTCGATTCTGCTACTCATTAGCTGTGTGACTCTGGGCAGGTTGCGTAACCTCTCTGAGACCCTTTTCCTGCTCTGTAATATAAATAGTT